TGTGGCTCTACGCTTACTGCTCTAAACCTTCTCTGACTCAAAATGGCCTTAAACGGCTCTTTTCCCTCAGCTCTTCCCCTTCTCTCCACGTATTCCGAGTGCCCCGATGATTGGTTGTTTCTGGGTTTCTCTCCAGATCACCAGGCTACCAAGAGAATTGGAAAATAATGGGAAAGGGGAGAGGCTGGGCATTGTCCATCACAGCTTCTTTCAAAACTTTATGTCTCTCTGCCCCTTATCTCTGGAAAGGAAGGGAAAGGAAGGGAAATTACTGGCTTGTTTATGGTTGTCAGGTCTTGAAGGAACTCACTCCCAACAACACTCTCTTGGAAGTGATTTGCATTTCTGCAGGGCTTTTTTTGTAGAAAAAGCCCAGCAGGAACTCATTAGCATAATAGGCCACACCCAACAGCAGAAACTCATTAGCATATTAAGCCACACCCCCGACAGCACAGCTCATTGGCATATTAGGCCACACACCCATGTTACCAGAAGTGTGCTCATCCAGCCACACCCACCTTTGGTTCTTATTCTGTTTACCTTCTTTGTTGTCCAAACCCTGGGCTTTTTTTGTAGCAGGAACTCCTTTGCATGTTAGGCCACACACCTCTAATGTAGCCAATCCCAATGAGTTTCTGATGTTGGGTGTGGCCTATTATGCTAATGAGTTCCTGCTGGGCGTGGCCAACTTGGAAGCCAGCCGGAACTCCGTTCCTGTGTGTTCCTGCCCAAAAATAGCCCTGGATAGAGGTTTCAAGCACAGATGAATCTGTCACAACTGACTCCCTGGCACCAGTTCTCCAATTATACATAATTCACACAATCCCCCCCCAGTGACCAAACCAATCACACCCAGACACCCAGCCCACCAAAAGCTACGGTGCACCATCAGCCCTCCTACAACACCTGCAAATCTACGGTTACATTATCTAGCAGTGTCTGGTACCAGTGTCTGGTACTCAAGGTCAAGCATGTATATTTCCCATCAAAGGGAGGCCCCGCATGGACGCAGTTACAAGCCAGCACAACTCTCAGCAAAACAATTCCATACACGTACTCACATACTCCCCCCCCCAATTCCCAGCCAGAGTGAAACAAGGCAGTGAGCTTACAGATATCAAAGACAGGCAGTTAAGAAACATATGGCAAACGAGACCCGAGTTTGACAATGGTCTCATGAAGAAACATTAATTTTCCACAATTCCCTTCACTTAAAACTCTTCTCATGGGAGCACGTTTCATAATGAGCCACCTATTCTTAAATAATCATCTCCCTGCCAGCTCTGGAGATATGGAATGACTCACTCGCCATATTTTATTTGCACTCTTCCCTTAGAGTCTTCAGGATTTTAAACGAAAAGATTTCAACAAGCACCTGCTACAGCTGAACAAGGATCAGAGAAACACATTTCAATATGAAGCACAGATCCACGAGGTCTCTGCATCAGCAACTCACTTCACTCCATAGCGATCCCGGAACATGATGTGATTTCGAAAGGTGCGGTTGACATCTAGGTCTATCTGCTTGATTTCTGATGAGAAGCTCTTGGCTTGTTCTTTCATTTTCTGAATGGAGGCAGATGGATTAAACCAGTTAATCTCTCTTAAAGTACCTGGAAACAGCTGACATCAGAAGTGCAAATACTTTATTTCCTGACATGATTCAGCTCCTTTTCATATTTATTTTACTAGCATTTATGAAACCAAACTTCACTCTGAAATGAGACACCTGTGTTACTGTTGATGTATTCATTCTCAGAGGCAAGACTAACAAGTTGGCAGGGACTCTGAAGAAAACAGAAAAACCCAGAGGTCTCTGAGAAATCAGGAAAGGGAAGCGATCTTCCCACATCTCTGCTGTGCTTAGTTATAAGAGGAATTCTTCTGGCTGTGGCACTGACAAATCGTTACAGTTCCATGCTGACGGCTCCACGGGAGCTGTGAAAGGCTGCTGATCAGGCATTTGCTATCCAAGCAAAAAACAAGCTGGAAGCAGACAGGAGATTAGAATGCACAGGATATGCCACTCATGGAGAGGCCAGTGATACATGATGGGGCAATCAAAGTGCTCTGCAGGAAGGGAAGAAAAAAAAACTAGAAGAAAAGAGAATGATCTAATGCCCACGTAAGCTGCACCTTAAAAAAGGATGCTAAAAACTGTCTTATGTGTTTGATTTATGTAGTCTTGATGCTCCCTGTAAGCTGTGGAGTCTTGTTAACTCAGCTTAGAGGGAACACTAGCCTTGACAGTCAATTTTATTTCAGCAAGTTTCAGAGATTCATATATTACAAGTTCAGGGAAAGCAAACGCTTAATTTCAGCTCTACCACTATCTAATAATTTCACATGGCAGTCCAATAAGCCTAGCTGCCTTTGATTCCTGTTCAGAACAACGCACAACGTATTTCATGCTATACATACTTCCCAGAGCTAGAAGTTTAACTGAAGTTAAAAACTGTAACGAAGTACCACACAAACCTTAATTCTGCAGCCTGAAACCCTCCTTGAATCTCCAGTCAATGTACTTTAATGTGCTGATATCTGAAAAAGCAGCCATTAATGTGGAGATTGGCTCAACATGGTTTGTACTTCTGGGATCTATGCAATAAATGATGCCTTACCTCATACTTTCCTTCATTCTCTGCCTTAATCTTCTCAATGTCCAGCAAGAGTGACCAAACCTGGCCTCTGACTTGGAGCGGAATCCCTTTATAAACTCTTCGAAACATCTACAAAGTGTTACATAAAAGAAAACGAACACAATTGCTGTAAGAAGTATGCACATGTATCAAGTACAACATGTCCCACAGTCGTTTGGCAATCCCTACATCAATATAGCCATTCTGAAAGTTGTTATTCCCATGCTATATTCTCACTCTTCAGTTTCATTCAGGAGATAAAAGCTAGCAGGAAGAGCAGCAAACATATGAAGGGGAGAGTATAATCTGAGGCACACTACTAACGTTCTTTTTCACTGACTAGACAGTTTAAGTGACTCTACAGTTTGCACGGAAAACTTGCCGGGCTCAAAACAGTAAAAGTCGAAACACTATCCTAAGGAAAAGGAGCTTCAATTAATGTAAATAAATGTATTCATATGTCATTATCTATTTCTTGTATTCCAAACCATTTGTACAACACAGAAAAGAATAATGCCTTAAGAGATTCTTTGGAGTAAAGGTAAAGGTTCCCTTGCTCGAAAGCCAGTCGAATCTGACTCTAGGGTTGCGGTGCTCATCTCCGTTTCAAAGCCGAATAGCCAGCGCTGTCCGAAGACGTTTCCATGGTCATGTGGCCGGCATGACTAAACACCAAGGCGCACGGAACGCTGTTACCTTCCCACCGAAGTGGTCCCTATTTATCTACTTGCAATTTCTTGCTTTCGAACTGCTAGGTTGGCAGGAGCTGGGGCCAGAGACGGGAGCTCACTCCGTCATGTGGCACACTCGGGTCTCAAACTGCTGAACTACTGACCTTCCACAGCCTGCAGTTCAGCGTCTTAACCACTTGAGCCACCGCAGCTCCTCTTGGAGCTCCTCTTTGGAGTACACGGCAGCATTTGTGAAATATGAAAGCACCAGCTGATATGCTCCCCATATTCACAATTTCTTTGCCTTCCATATTTTCTGAACCTGGAATGGAACCCGGAAGTCGTAATTCAAAAATCATTACACTTTCTTTATTGATCATCCCTAGACTTTTTAAAAAACCTGTGCCTTTATTAAATTTGGATAATGTGAACTCCAATTCAATGAATACAGCCTACACAGAAATTGTCACCACACAGAAACATAGCAAAACACAAATCTATTTCCTTTTTGTTCAAGACAGTGACAAAGAACCTTGCAGTGTCCGGTTGCGACAGGAAACCCAACTAAATCGTTACTCTGTGAATAAGTTCATAATCTAGTCAAATGTTGCCCCAAGAGAAATTATACTTCCTACGCTACTTGCTACTGTGAGACTTGTGATTCCCCAAATATAAAAGATGAAGCTGCCCCCTCCCTGAATAACTGGAATCTCCTTGGAAAGAGAGGTCCACAGTTTTGGTGTCACTACAGAGAAGGTGATCTCCAGTTGTGGTGAATGAAGGATGTTTATTCTTGTCCAGTTATGGCAAATTTTTGGAAATCAATAGCAACACTTGAAAAACTAACAAACAAGATTAGATTATTCAGGGGAGAAAAAAGGAAGATGACTTTAAGATCATTTGGAACCGTTCTATAATTTATTTAAGGGAATTTTCAGGCTATATAGTTAGTTAAAGAATTTTCTTTAATGGATGGAGAACCTTACTTGAAAATTTGAACAAGAGGATACGCTTCTCAGAAACAGAATTAATGATACAGATGTAAAGTCTCAGTCACCTTGGATGGAAGCACCCCCCACTCTCCTCTTCTTTTCTTCTTCTTTTTTATTTCTTGTCCAGTTATGGCAAATTTTTGGAAATCAATAGCAACACTTGAAAAACTAACAAACAAGATTAGATTAATTCAGGGGAGAAAAAAGAAAGATGACTTTAAGATCATTTGGAACTGTTCTATAATTTATTTAAGGGAATTTTCAGGCTATATAGTTAGTTAAAGAATTTTCTTTAATGGATGGAGAGCCTTACTTGAAAATTTGAACAAGAGGATACGCTTCTCAGAAACAGAATTAATGATACAGATGTAAAGTCTCAGTCACCTTGGATGGAAGCACCCCCCACTCTCCTCTTCTTTTCTTCTTCTTTTTTATCTATTTTGTTCTTTGTCTCTTACTGGTTTATATATTTTCTTTTTGCTTGTTAGTTTTTCTGGTTGGAACATCACCGTAACAAGACGGTCTCATCTTTTATATTGCATATGTAATTTGAACAAGAGGATACGCTTCTCAGAAACAGAATTAATGATACAGATGTGAAGACTCAGTCACCATGGATGGAAGCACCCCCCACTCTCCTCTTCTTTTCTTCTTCTTCTTTATCTATTTTGTTCTTTGTCTCTTACTGGTTTGTATATTTTCTTTTTGTTTGTTAGTTTTTCTGGTTGGAACATCACTGTAACAATATCTTTTATATTGCATATAAGGTTGTTCATGGTTTTGTTTTGTTTTTTGTTGGCTTTGGTTTGAGTGTGTGTGTATATACCTTCAAGAAAATTAACATAAAAAAATATATGAGAGGCCCCCCTCTCCTGGGCTGCCACCTGCCTAATCTAAGACGTAAGAGCAACTAAAGCAGACCTTCTGATGATTGCAGTATCCGGATAGTTTCGTAAAGCTTCATGTATGTTGGTCCCAAATCATAGTAAAGGTAAAGGTAAAGGTTCCCTTGCTCGAAAGCCAGTCAAATCCGACTCTAGGGTTGTGATGCTCATCTCCATTTCAAAGCCGAAGAGCCAGCGCTGTCCGAAGACATTTCCGTGGTCATGTGGCCGGCATGACTAAACACCAAGGCGCACAGAACGCTGTTACCTTCCCACCGAAGTGGTACCTATTTATCTACTTGCAATTTCTTGCTTTCGAACTGCTAGGTTGGCAGGAGCTGGAACTGGAGACGGGAGCTCACTCCGTCATGCGGCACCCGGGTCTCGAACTGCTGAACTACTGACCTTCCACAGCCTGCAGTTCAGCGTCTTAACCACTTGAGCCACTGCAGCTCCAAATGATACAGGGCTTTAAATGTTAGCACCAGCACTTCAAATTGTGCTGGGAAACAAATTGGGAGCCAATGTATATGGAAAAAGACTGGAGTAATATGGCCCCTAAAACCCTTTCTCGTCAACATCCTGGCTGCAGCATTCTGCATCAAATGAAATTTTGGAACACTTCCCAAGAGCAGCCCCACACACGGCACAGATAATCTAATCTAGATGTAACCAAGGCATGCACCACAGTGGCCAGATCTTTCCTGCCAGGAAAGCCTGCATTTGGCTAACCAGTCTAAGCTGGTAAAAGGCACTCCTGGTTACAGTCGCCACCTGCTTGTCCACCAGTAGGTAAGTTCACTGGGGTACAATAGGAAGTCTCTCAGCAGAGACAGGAGTTAATATGGTGTTGAGACTGCTTCCAGTTTATGTGTTTGAAATTCTCACTCTCCTATTCCCTGCCCACAAAATGATTTAGAAAATAAGGCCTCAGCATCATTATATCAAAGAACAGCAGTTATTTCTGCACAGTTAATCCTTTTGGAATAGAGAAAGTGATCTACAACAGGAGATGGCATGACTAGTACTGAGGGAGCCATTCACTCCCCCCCCCCCTTTAGTGTTTCTTCTACTCCTGCAATGCTTTCAACAGGGAAGGATTTCAAAAGCAATTTAGCGGCATGTAGCTGTGGTTATTTGGAATTCGTAATCTTCAGCCCTTCATCTGCTCTCCTTTTTCTTACACAGTCTTTACAGTGAACTTAGATTAGGAAAAATAATTATCGAACTATTCTTTATTTGGATTAGAGGACATATATGATCACTATTCTTAAAACCATGGTGCAATTCACTTTTTAAAATATCTATTATTAATTATTCTACACGGACCCTACCAAAAATGAATGGAGGTGCCCATGATTACTCATTTCAGTGGAGCTCATAAAGGGGAGCTTCTTCGAATACTGTACCCGGGGGTCATTTCCTGTGGGAGCGCACAGGAGCGGAGCTCCGTCAGTAAAGAGCCCAGGGGGCGGGCACATGCAACAAGCCCCACCCCCTGCTCCCAGCAGCCCTCAGTCAGAGCAAGAAGCAGCCAGGTAAGCTGCAGAGCCCCCCCCCCGGTCCAAAACAGTCCAGTGGCACCTTTAAGACCAAGTTTTATTCAGGTAGAAGCTCTCCCTCCTCTGTGAGGGCAGATCTGCACGTTTCTCCCCCCCCCAATAGCTAGCAATCCAAAACAGTCCAGTGGAGCCTGAGCAGTGGGTGTTACCTTCTGACATACTTCCGGTGATGTCAGGGGGTGTGGCATATGCAAATAAGTTACGCTAATGAGTTATGCTAATGAGCTCCTGCACCTCTTTTTCTACGAAATGACCCTTGACTGTAACTATGAAAAACGATTAGGGGGTTGTGTGCTATAATCTTTGCCCCAAGCATCCAAATGTCTTGGGCTGGACCCAGTAGGGTACTCCAGTACTGCAATCCTAAGGACACATTTCTGGGAAGTAAGCCCCCTTGGAATTACCTGGGACTGGCTTTTACAGACCTGCTTATGATTGCTCCCTAAATCAGGTTCAGTTTATCTTGGGAAGCATATTCCTAGTATAAACTGGGGAAGACAACAGGAAGGATTTGGATGGAATGCACATGTACATAAAAGCATGCAAATTCCAGTAGACTTGGGGCTCTCGCCACCTTTTGACATTTTCAGTTGAAATGATGAAGTTCTTCAGAGAACACTGAAATAAAGACTTCCAGGATTCACAAGCTATTTTTCGGAGAAGAATCCATTTTCTCTGCCAGCGAGCCACAACCCAGTTCATGTCATGACATATAAGTGGCGATCAAGCAGGGAAGAGGCCAGATTGGCCAATGGGAAATGGAATCTAAGAGGAACTGTGGAAAAGTCTCACCTCACTAATCAAGCACTTGATTGTCAATGAAGTTCTTATAACCTTGGACATGTGTAAAGAGAATTAACTGTATTAATACTCCCAATCTGCAAAGAGGAATGCTGGCATGAAAAGGTGGCTTTTTTCTTGAAAGGAAATGTGTTACAGGAAAATAAATGGGAGCTTTGTCCAGATGTAAATGTTAAACATGAGAAAACTGCTCAGATAAACATTTCAGATAAAAGTGCTCTGATCTCCCCAGCTTCTAGAGATAAAACAAAGAATTAACAAGACGTAGGCTACATCTAAGGGCTGCGGTGGCTCAAGTGATTAAGACGCTGAACTGCAGACCGGAAGGTCGGTAGTTCGCGACCCAAGTGCCGCATGACAGAGTGAGCTCCTGTCTCTGGTCCCAGCTCCTGCCAACCTAACAGTTCGAAAGAAATTGCAAGTAGATAAATAGGTACCGCTTCGGTGGGAAGGTAACAGCATTCCATGCGCCTTGGCGTCTAGTCATGCCGGCCACATGACCACGGAAATGTCTTTGGACAGCGCTGGCTCTTCAGCTTGGAAATGGAGATGAGCACCGCAACCCTAGAGTCGGATTCGACTGGCTTTCAAGCAAGGGAAACCTTTACCTTTACCAGGCTACATCTACTATCCTAACTCCTACCGGAAAATTATTATTCAACATGTATAACCATGGGCTTGTACATTAAGCAATCACCAATATTTTTAGTGACAATATTTTGGAATTTAGCAACTGTAGAAAAATGCCCGTGTCTGTAAGGCACCAAATAAGACCTATCACACACCCACATGGCTGAGACTGGTCGGAACAGAAATGCAGCTTGTGCATTTCTCATTACAGCCTATCCACTGATTTCCAGGTCACTGCGTAAAAGAATGAACACGTAAGTCTTCTTAAGAAAACTTCATTTTTTATGCCACAATAAAGGCCAAAACAAAGTGAAGTAGGGCACCACTAAAACAGGCCCTGGTTCTCTTCCTCACCTTCTCACTGTTTCTGTATTTCCCCCATTTTCTTAACATCTTCAGCCATTTGTCCACTCGTTCAATCTCTTGAAGTTTTTGCTGGAGAAGAAGATTAGATGTTAAAATTTCAGAGATTCTCCCCCCCCCCTAATTTATGTATAGCAAAGAGAGGACGAGGTGGATACCTTAGTCAACATAACAAGGAAATCAATGGGTTATAGAAGATTAAAATATAGCAGCTACAGCTAGGTGACCTAAGGACCAGCTAGGCAATACCATATAGCAATGCACAGGGGTCATTTCCTGTGGGAGCGCACAGGAGCGGAGCTCCGGCACTAAGGAACCCAGGGGGCGGGCATATGCAACAAGCCCCGCCCCCTCCTCCCAGCATCCCTCAGTCGGGCCACGAGGAGAAAGAATTCAGGTACAAACTCTCCCTCCTCTGTGAGGGCAGATCTGCACGTTCCCCCCCCCCCAAATAGCTAGCAATCCAAAACAGTCCAGTATAGTCTGAGCGGTGGGTGTTGCCTTTTGACACACTTCTGGTGATGTCAGGGGGTATGGGGCATGCAAATAAATTATGCTAATAAATTATGGTAATGAGCTCCTCCACCTCTTTTTCTACGTAATGACTCCTGGCAATGCATATTTGGTATGGAAAAGTGTATGACACTGTGTATTAATAGATCTATGCTTAATGTAGATCTATTTTTTTCTTTTTCTTTTCTTTTAAAAAAATCTATACTGTTATATAAATATTGGTGTCACGTATTACCAAACATAGGTGTCACCCAAACAATACATCAAAGTCCAGGTTTACACTAGTTCAAACAGTCCAAAAAACAACTTGTCAGTTTCACAGTCACCACTAGTCCCTATTTCCATTGATAGCTGTAGAGAACCTTCACACAGAAAGGCAGTTAGTGTCAGAGAGGAGAACACCCTTCATACAAACATCGCCTCCAAAAACCATAAAATAAGACACTGTGTGGCCTGAAATGCCACACAAAATGGATGCCAGTCAGAGACACTTTTGCAGCACCCTGTGTCTTTGCCGCTCATTTCCCCACCTCTGACTTACCCAGAATGCCCAGTTTCCCTCCTGACAACTGCTCCAGGAAAGCAAAGCAATTTTTAAAATCTATTAAAGGTTGCCATCCCTGTTCATCATTTGCTACTAATACCATTTTCCAGAAGTAACTCACACAACATAAAGCAGCAACTCTTACCTTTTCCTCCAGAGCACTGCGGAGTGGTAGCTCATGCTCACTGGGGGGGAAAAATTAGTAAAAATTCCAATCAAACCACGGGTACTACCAAGAGCATAGAAGGAAAATGTACACTATAGAAAAGAAGTCAGAAGTCTTGCCCCGAAGGCTGGGCAAAAGTTTCATTTATTATATTTATATTTTTTAATTTTCGAATCGTCCGATTCCTGTATGGATAGGGCTCTGGGCAATGTACGACAAAAGTTAAAAATATCAGACGAGAAAAGTTAAAATTAATAAACAGCATTTTTTACATTCTTAAAATAATCTCAGACGGCATTACTAATCTGTGTTTAAACCCATCCCGGACTGTGTTACTGCCTCATAGGCAGGGAATCTTTTTGTAGCAGGTACTCATTTGCATATTAAGCAACACCCCCCTAACGTAGCCAATCCTCCAAGAGCTTACAGTAGCCCCTGTAAGAAGAGCTCTGTAAGCTCTTGGAGGATTGGCTACATTAGGGGTGTGTGGCCTAATATGCAAAGGAGTTCCTGCTACAAAAAGAGCCCGGGTAAAGAGGAGGCTGAAATGGGAGAGATGGTAGAAAAAGGGGAGGGCACCGGCCATGAAAAACCGTCGCTGCCCTCAACCAAAAGCCCAGCAGAACAAAACTGCCTTACAGGCCCTGCGGAATTGCATTAAATCCCGCAGGGCCCTGATGGTACTTGGCAGAGAGTCCCACGAGGTCGGAGTCAGGACTGAGAAAGCCCTGACTGGGGTCGAGGACAGCCAGATATCTTGGGGGCCGAGGATCACCAGTAAGTTGTTCTTAGCAGAACGCAACGTATTTATTTATTTGTTTGTTTGATAGATTTCTATCCCGCCCTTCCGCCAAACCAGCTCAGGGCGGCTTACGTACAGTTCTAAAACCAGCAAATACATAGTTAAAACACAATAAAATTCCAAATAAATACAGTTAAAACCCATTACATGTGGCGGTATCGTATAACAAAGTGCAAGTGCAGCGCCGCCGATAAAGCAGATTCTTACAAAAACGCCCGGTGAAAAAGCTCCGTTTTCACGGCCCTGTGGAATTGCTGGAGGTACGCAGTGCTCTGATCTCACTGGGGAGCTCATTCCAGAGCGTTGGCGCCACCAGGGAGAATGCCCTGGTCCTAGTCGCCGCCAACCTGGCGTTCCTAGGCCCAGGCGGTTTTGTGTTCCAGATCGTAGTGCTCTCTGGGGGACATATGGGGAAAGGCGGTCCCCCATTCTCTTGGGGACATACCAGAGGAGGCGGTCCCAAAGGCACAGGGCCCACAGACAGCTCGAGGCCTTGAAGTTCAATACCAAAACCTTGAACCTGACTCAATATCCCACTAGAAGCCAGTGTAACTAGTGCAGCACAGGCTGTATATGTGCCATCCATGGCATTTCCACCAGGACTCGCGCCACTGCATTCTGGATCAGTTGGAGTTTCTGGATCAGTCTCAAGGGCAGGCCAGCGTAGAGCAAGTTACAGTAATCTAGCCTGGAGGTGACCATTGCATGGATTAATGTGGCTAGGTCAGGGCACAACAAGAAAGGGGCTAATTGCCTTGCTTGGCACAGATGGGAAATTGCCAGTCTGGCAATATTGGTGACCTGGGCCTCCACAGTTAAGGAGGCATCCAGGACCACGCACAAACGCTTGATGGATTGTGCCAGTGTTTATGGCACCCCATCGAGTGGGAGGTCTATGCCTCAACCCTGAGGGAGCCCCCCCCACCCCGCGTCTTTGCTGGATTCGGTCTCAGTCTACTCTTTTGTAACCACCCCACCACAGCCTCCAAACACATGGCCAGATTTTGTGGGGCGGTCCACTAACAGGTAGAGCTGCACGAGGGGGCGTATACAGATGTTAAATAACATCGGGGAGAGGATTGCCCCCTGAGGCACTCGGCATGATAGGGGGTGCCTAGTTGACACCCACTCTCCCTGCGTATACAGATGTTAAATAACATCGGGGAAAGGATTGCCCCCTGAGGCACTCAGCATGATAGGGGGTGCCTAGGTGACACCCACTCTCCCTGTGACATCCTCTGTCCCCAACCAAGGAGAAATGTGTCATGGGCATGGATGAGGAAGAGCTGCCAGAGCTTGCAGAAACTGCAGCTGGCCCCTCTGAAGCAGCAGAGAAAGATAGCTGGCAGTTGCCTGTAACAGCAGTCTTCACAACTGGCCCAGATAAGGGGGAAGAACTGCAAGCTGAAAGTCCTCCTGACTCACCCCCATGTGTGACTCGTTTAAGGGAGCGACTGCGACAAAACTTAGCAAGCAGGCGAAGAGAGGCCAGGCTACAGGGGAGATGCTCGGCCAGCCCAGAGTTCTAACAGGAGCCTGGGCGATCGTGCAGCTGGCTAATTTAACCCCACAATCTGGGCAGTACTCTTCGTGGAAACGACGAGTCAGCTTCATGCTGCTTGCATCCACTGCAGCTCAGCTCTTGCACCTAGATGTTCGGACCTCAAGCTTTGGACTTTGCACTGTCTTCTTGGCTCCTGACCTTGGCCTGTTCTGGACTCCCTTTGACTGGCACCCCAGCCCGTGACAAAATGAGGAAAGCCATTTCAGGGCTACCTCATGAACTCCCACGTTGGTGAGGCAGTGGGTCAAAAGATCGTGATTGACCGTGTCGAACGCTGCTGTGAGATTGAGCAACAACAGCAGCGCCAACCTGCCTTGGTCCAGCTTGTCTCCAGAGATAGTCTGTCAGGGCAACCAGCATCGTCTCCATCCTGCGACTGGGGCGAAAGCCGGACTGGAATGGATTCAATGCTGATGTTAACAGCCTTGTCAGCCTTCTTAGTCAAGGAGTTTTCTTATTTAATGAGATTTATTTATTTTACATATATAATAAAACTTTAGAATGATTGCCTGATTCCCAATTTATTCAGAAACAGCTTCAGGGTTTATTCCCAATTGTCTGAATCCCAATTTATTCAGAAACAGCCTTCGTCCAGGCTCCTGTTCACAGACAGGTGCATTATACAGAAAAAGAACTACTGCATAAATTATCTCGTGGCTACCACAACATGTATCTTAGAACACAGACTCTATGATATTCCCAGTGTACACACCACAGCTCTAATGGTTTGAAATATTATGAGGTTCTTCAACGAAGCTTCATAGTTTAAAGGAACTCTGATCGTATCACATGCCTACCTTTATTTATTTACCCACAGAAGACATAACGTTTAATTTCTGAACACATAGTGACGTCATGCCTTATCTAGCATAGCATGTAAGGAACTTTCATAAGCAACAGAAAGCTCTCTTCGTTCCTTTGCCTGGAGTTCGACTGAGAAGACGGCAGGTACAACACACGGAGGCTGATCAAAACCATAAATCAAAGAAAAAGGTACAACTGTAAGCCTTAACACTGTTTCAAGGAAAAGATCGAGTGAACAGGAAAAGATAACTTACTGCAAAAACCCAAATCTGTCTGTGACTTTGTACAGGGTGAAGTCAGCATCTTCCCATGGGTCAATCTGAGCCCCTTCCTTTCTTCCCTGTAAAGAAAAGGGAAGGGACACAATAAGCTCGCTACGGTGGAGCCTAACAAAACAAAGATTTTTGTCATGTTGATGTGTGTTACTTTGAGCAATAATCCAAAAGAATGCCCGTTCCTGTGGCAAAACAAGCCTTAAATTGTCACTGTGCTATGATAAAGGCAGGACTGGTATCATGGTGAAGGGCAGATGTCAGCTATCAGTATGCATTTCTATGGAGCCACACTCATTTCGCCATATGTTTATGGGCATGCGCTTTGCCCAATCCTTTTGCAGTTAAGAACATAAGAGAAGCCAACGTTGGATCAGGCCAATGGCCCATCTAGTCCAACACTCTGTCACACAATGGCCAAAAATACTAGGTGCCATTGGGGAGGTCCAGCAGTGGGGCCAGGACACTAGAAGCCCTCCCACTGTTGCCCCCCCCCCACGCACCAAGAATACAGAGCATCACTTTGCCCCAGACTGAGAGTTCCTATCTGTACCTCGTGGCTAATAGCCACTGATGGACCTCTGCTCCAGATGTTTATCCAGTTCCCTCTTGAAGCTGTCCATGCTTGTAGCCGCCGCCACGTCCTGCGGCAGTGAATTCCATGTGTGTATCACTCTTTGGGTTGTGTACAGCTTTCTGAACTTGCCTTTAGAGACTGCTCCTCTCCTCAGTTGCTGTATTGTCAGTGTGCCTCAGTATAAATTGAAGGGGGAAGCTACTATTCTCAGGACCAGCTAAAGATATGATATATTCCAGGTAAGATGAAACAAGTACTAAAGACAGGCAGACCTAATGAAATTCTCAGTACCAATAACTTCCCTACCATTATGCTTTCAGCCTTGGTAGTGTCTGAGGAACAACGACGACTACTTTCTGGCAAAGACTGAAGTTAACACAGCCAAAGGAAGGCGCATACACTGGGGTCAATGTACTCCTCTCTTATAAATAAATTATACCCCAGCAAAAGACAAATGCAACACAAAAACAAAATAATGAGGATATCTCTTGAGAGGGATAGTATCCATCTAGGCACCACACTTTTCTCTAAAAAATGCAGTGGGCTGGGCATGAAACCTCATCCCCCCCCCCCTAATTTTCTAACTAGCACTAATAAACCTATCTATATATCTAATAAAGATGTTCCCTGGAAGGCCAGAGACTGAAGCTGAAGCTCAAATACTCTGGCCACCCAATGAGAAGGGAGCCCTCACTGGAGAAGACCCTGATGCTGGGAAAGACTGAAGGTCAAAGAAGACGGGGACGGCAAAGGATGAGATGGTTAGACAGTGTCATAGATGCAACGAACATGAAATTGAGCCAACTTCAGAGGACGGCAGAAGACAGGAGGGCCTGGTGTGATTTGGTCCATGGGGTGGCGAAGAGTCGGACTCGACCGTGCGACTGAACAACAACAACAACTATATCTAATTCTCAACAGTCCCCTCTGCCTGCGGATAGTTATTTCCTCAAACAGAGGGCACACTTACTCCAAACAGGTTCTTCTGCCACTTGGGTGACCCCCTAGGTTTGCAGAAGAATCTGAAAAGTCTTAAAAAAACACTTTGGGGGGTTTAAATCCCCCCCCCCAATAAAAAGCATTGTCCATGCATGTGCAGACAATACAACTTACATTTGAGGGCCTGGCTGATGCTTCTGCTCCTGCGGAGCCACTCCAGGTCAGACCATGGTGGCAGGGGATGCCAGGATCTGCTCCGAGCCCAACAGTGACAGTGGAGACTGCTGGGAGCAGCTCCGGGCCCAGCTGCAGCAGCACTGAACTCTGGGAGAGGTTTCCGGCCCAGCCACGGCAGGCGCCAGGAGCTGCTTCGGGCCTGGCTGCCACCAGGAGCTGCTGCAGGTTTGAAGCAGCTCCCAGGTATCACCACCGCAGCTGCCGGGCTCAAAGGATAGGCAAAAAGAAGGGGGGAAGAGGAAGAAGGGAGAATTGGCTGGGGAGGGGGAGAGAAAGGGAAATATGGGAATACTAGGTGCAAAGCCCGTTGTAGCTGCAAGACAACGAGCGCTAGAAGGGCATGATGGCAATCGTCCCCACAGCGCAGGTCTTGCTGGGAACAGAAGTGGGGCCAGTTGGAGTGGCGCCCTCGCACAGGGCTCCTTCTGCGCCATCCTCGTTATCCCCCGCGCCGTCACTCGATCTCCCCCCGTCCCACAACAGGTCCTTCGGCTGGAAGGGAAGCACACTGAAGGCGAGACTCCATTCCCTTCGGCAGCTCCGTCGAGAGTGAGGGTGAAATGCTGGCCGCGGGCTCTGTGGGCGGGGCCGAGCCAACGCACCAAGGCAATGCAACCAGGGAATTGGGAGACTGTGAGAGGGGCGGCTGAGCAGGCCAAAGGCTGAGGGAGCGTGTCCAGGAGTCACACCAAAACTCTTTTATATATAAGGAGAGATTGGCTTGGGGGGAGAGAAAGAAGGGGGATTGGCAGGGGGGAGAGAAAAGAAAATATGGGTGTATTGGCTTGGGGGGAAAGAAACAGACAATATAACTTACATTTGAAGGCCCGGCTGATTCTTCTGCTCCTGTGGAGCCATTCTGGGTCCAAACATGGCATCAGGGAATGCCAGGAACTGCTCTGAGCCCGAGCAGTGTGGAACACTGGGAGCAGATCCAGGCCGAGCTGCCACAACCGTGGCAGATGCCAGGAGCTTCTCTTGGCCTAGCTGCCACCGGGAGCTGCTCCAGGCTTGAAGCAGTTCCCAGGCACCACTAACACAGCTGCCAAGGTCAAAGGCAGGCAAAAAGAAGGGGGGAGGGTTAGAGAAAGAAGGGAGGATTGGCTGTGGAGGAGAATGGGAAATATTGGCTTTGGGGGAGAGAAAGAAGGGGGATTGGCTGGGGGGAGAGAAAGAGAAATATAGGAGTATTCGTTTAGGAGGAAGAAGAGGGGATTGGCTGTTGGAGACAGAGAGAACGAGAAAGGAGGAGAGACTGGCTTGGGGGAGAGAGAAAAAAGGGGGATTGGCTTGGAAGAGAGAGCAAGACAAAGAAGGAGAAATTGGCATGGGGAGACAGAAAAGAAGGGGTATTGGCTTGGTGGGGAGCAGAGAAGAAAGGGAAGAAGGGGGTATTGGGTTGGGGAGAGAAAGAAAGAAAGGAAAAGAACGGGATGGGGAAAGAAGCAAAGGTGGGAGAATGCCCCCTTCCCCACAAGCTTCTTGTGGGTCCCCACTTGCATATTAATAGTTTCCTAAATGTAAATTTAAAACAGTGAACTGAAATCATTCCATTACCAACTTAGACCCAGTGAAACTGAGAAGGGCTTTCAGAGCTCCCTGACTTTGGTTCAGATGTTGACACCTCCCCAGCAGATCAACAGACCTTGCGTGTATAAGCTGCAGCCATACAGACCCCGCAGACCACCACCGTACACAACGGACACATTGGTGGAATGAGCGAACAATATGCCCTGAGCCAGTCTGACAGTTTGTGATGTCAGAGAAGACGACTTGAGACATTAAAAACTCGAGAAACCAGAACGATAGTGGTCGTTTTAAGCTATGTCTCTTAAAACCTACATCGGAACCGGTCTTTGCCTCCATTTGCAGCTGCTCCAGTAAACATTCCTGGCAGTGGCTTATGGCCTCACAGAGACTGGCCACGCTGTGGGAGCCAATCCATGGGGCAAATTAGTGCTCAAACTAAACTTGCTACGTGGAGGAAGATGCCATGCAGCTGCAGTGTCAGGCGATGTTCATCTGATGGTGAGATGCTGACCTTGCCGGCTGGGGGCCTTATTTGAATCGCCCACTAACTGGCTGGTAAAAGAGGTTCCTGCTTTCTGTAGAGAAAACACAGAAAGCCTTGGGCCAGGCAGTACATTCGTTTACCAAAAGAAGAACCTTACCTTCTCATACTTGCCAATGATTTCTGCCCTTTCTTCTGCTATTAAGGCATCTATATCTTTCTTCATGTCAGAAACTGTAAGCAGAATAAAAAATCAACGATGAGCTAACACAAGACAATGTGAGGCACGGGGAACATTTTTGGAAAGTGCTAATAGAAAAAGGCTTTGTTAACAACTCTAAAAAAAACCCAGGCATCCTAGAACCAAAATTAGGTGGAAGCTGTGAAGTCTAAAGGACATCTATATGCAGTTCTTGTCAAACAATATAAACATTATTTGAGTATGAAGAGTGTATTAGAATAAGCCCATTTTGTTTCTGCAGAATGAGGAAATCAGACACATCCCTCAACTTAGTTCAATCCATTTTTCATCTCTGTATCTGGTTTTCTTCTCAGTGAAATTATTTCAAAACCTAGTTTTTCAGGAGCAGACTTACATACAGGAGAGCTTATTCTGGTGTATAGCTATCAGTTCCCACACTCCCTCCAGCCCCTTATACTCCCCGCCCCCCAGGGACACCCTGGCATTCATCAGCAGCTCCCCACCACCACCACCTTCACACAGAATGACTTTCTTCCTCCCGTCTTCTTTCTTCCCTCCTCCCAGAGGGTCGCTTCTCTGGCATCATGACAGAGAAAGAGCGGAAGAGGCAGGCAGAGGAGAAGCAGGTGGCAGCGGCAGTGGTGGAGGAGGAGGCTTCTGCTGTGGGTGCGAATGAGGAGGCCCAGCACGCACGCACACTGACTGAGGGTTGGTGACCCCCCCACACGGAGAGGAAGGTGGCTGCACACGCGCAGCCAGGCCCAACTGATAGAGAAAGGGGGGACCCTTCGGCCAGCCAACCTGATGCAGGTCTTGTTACTGCTCTTGCTGCCACCCACCCTCCTCTTCCTTGTTCACGGGCCAGATGACAGATCTGGACAGGTTGATTCCAGGCCCCGAGCCATATGTTTGACACCTCTACTCTAGAGGGTCCACTATATGCCCACACCTCCACGGGGGGGGGGAGGTTAAAGTTGATGAAGAAGAAGAAGAGATTGAATTTATACCCCGCCCTTTACTACCCAAAGGCGTCTCAGAGCGGCTTACAAACACCTCTCCCTTCCCCTCCCCACGACAGACACCCTGTGAGGTAGGTGGGGCTGAGAGAGCTCTGACAGAAACCGCCCTTTTTCAAGAACAGCTCTTATCAGAACTACGGCTTGCCCAAGGTCATCCAGCAGGTGCAAGTGGAGGAGTGGGGAATCAAACCCGGTTGGTTCTCCCAAATACCCCACCCTTCACTACCCAGAGGAGTCTCAGAGCGGCTTACAAACTCCTTTCCCTTCCCCTTCCCACAACAGACACCCTGTGCGGTGGGTGGGGCTGAGAGAGCTCTGACAGAAACTGCTCTTTTTTCAAGAACAGCTCTTAGCAGAACTAGGGCTTGCCCAAGGTCATCCAGCCAGGTGCATGTGAAGGAGTGAGGAATCAAGCCCAGTTGTCCCAGATTAGAATCTGCGCACTTAACCACTACACCAAACTGGCCTTGTACTTTGTGTCAAGTATATAATTAACTGACCAAGCAGAAAACAAATAATGCCTGTATAAAAATGTGCACCTATGAAGCACTATCGGGATATTAATAAATCTGAAAATGCACAGCTGGATGACATGGAAGATTCCTAGAAATCAACCCACCTGAACTGAAATCAGCAGAAAAAGCTGCTCAAATCAATCTCTCCCTCCTACATAAAACTAAAATTCCAGTGCAAAAAAATGTTTTGTTGAAAACTGCAGGGACGATACACACAATAAATTTTCAATCAAAATGTCTTTCATTGGAATTATTTTGTCTTTTGTTATAAAATGTTGTTGTGATTGTGGCTACATTCAAATGCTATGAACAGATCTCAGCTTATTTGTAAACAAGGAAGAAGAAGAGGAGGAGGAGGAGGAGGAGGAGGAGGATTTTGAAGAAGAAGAAGAAGAAGAAGAAGAAGAAGAAGAGGAGGAGGAAGAGGAGGAAGAGGAGGAGGAGGAGGAGGAGGAGGAGATTGGATTTATACCCCGCCCTTCACTACCCGAAGGAGTCTCAGAGCGGCTTACAAACTCCTTCCCCTCCCCACAACAGACACCCTGTGAGGTAGGTGGGGCTGAGAGAGCTCTTGACAGAAACTGCTCTTTTTCGAGGACAGCTCTTATCAGAACTATGGCTTGCCCTAGGTCATCCAGCAGGTGCAAGTGGAGGAGTGGGGAATCAAGCCCGGTTCTCCCAGATTAGAGTCCGCGCACTTAACCCCTAGACCAAACTGGCTCTCAAACCCTCCAGGTCGCATGCTTCCTCCCCTCTTGGCAAGAAAAGCAGAGACTGAAAGTTTCCTGGCTTAGTTTAATCTGTGTTTAGAATCCTGGTTCATGGACAATGTACTAAATAAAAGAAACAAACTTCAGCTTTGTCAAAGCATCTGAATTTCAGGATTTCATTAGTTCTTTAGTCTCAGTTCTATATGCAAGCAAGGAGGAAACATGTGAGCCTGTGGAATTCAGGTTTGCTCATGACTTCTTAATACAGCGGGGGTGGGTGGGGGGTGTTTCCACATTAAATTAGGGCTGTAAACACATGAGCAGAGAAATGCAAGGTCTTTGGAGGGAATTCCAGTTCTATTTTCTGACCTAACGTGAAAACTGGACAAAACCCAGAACAAACCTTCCACGGGAGGATGTGCATGAGAACAAGATAACCTTCCAAAATCTTTTCAGGGTTTCAGAGTTTGTGGGCCTTTCTAGAAATAGACCATTACAGTGTGCAAGAAAGGGTGGACATGAAAATATGACTCCTGCTTGCGATAACAAAGAAAATGCAAATGCAGCCTTAGATACCCTCCTAATCAAACACTTTAGCTTTGAGGTTCTAAATAGAACGATCAGTCAGCAATGGTACATGATTGTTCGAAATAAAAACCAGACCTGATTTTTTCCTGTGACCTCAAGTATGGTCATCATACACTTTTTACATAAATGATTTATTTCTACCCTAACTTCCTTCTAGGGTTATCAGCCGCCAGGTCCCACCAGGGATTCCCCCCGCTTTGGGGGGGCTTTGATCCGCCACTGCCCAGCTGGCTGGCAGGGGAAACCCCACCTGTGGGGACCAACCCTGTGGGGATTTCAAGGCAAGAGACGTTCAGAGGTAGCCTGCCTCCGCATCACAACCCTGGTATTCCTCCGTGGTCGCCCATCCAAATCCTGGCCAAGGCCGACCCTGCTTAGCTTCCGAGATCTGATGAGGTCGGCCTGGCCTGGCCTATCCAGGTCAGGGCTACAGCACTGGTAAAGTTATGTATTTGGATGTCACTTTGGGGAGGAACTGAAATGACACTCTGGGGCTTGAAGTTCACTGACTCTTCTTGCTGATGTGATGGCAATCAAAAACACTGTCTTCCTGGTGAACAGACAGAGGGAGCAGATGGCCATGACTTCGAACGGTTTGTTCATTAACTTGGAGAGCACAAGGGAAGGGAACTGAAAACCAATCAGCCAGTTTCATCATGCCCCTGTATAAATCGATGGTGCGACCTCATTTGGAGTACTGTGTACAGTTCTGGTCACCACACCTCAAAAAGGATATTTAAGCATTGGGAAAAGTGCAGAAGAGGGCAACTTTAGAATGACAAAAGGGTTGGAACACTTTCCCTATGAAGAAAAGTTGAAGCGCTTGGGGCTCTTTAGCTTGGAGAAACGACGGCTGAGGGGTGACATGATCGAGGTTTACAAGATTATGCATGGGATAGAGCAGGTAGAGAAAGAGGTACTTTTCTCCCTTTCTCACAATACAAGAACTCGTGGGCACTCCATGAAATTGCTGAGCGGTCGGGTTAGAACGGATAAAAGGAAGTACTTCTTCACCCAAAGAGTGATTAACGTCCAGCGAAGGAGCATCCACCACCTCCCGAGGCAGTCTGTTCCACTGCTCAACCACTCTTACAGTTAAGAAGTTTCTCCTGACATTTAGCTGGTATCGACTCCCTTGTAACTTCCACCCATTAGATCTAGTCTTGCAATCCGGAGCAAGAGAGAATAGATCCGCTCCATCTTCTACATGTTTAGCTTGTGATCAACGAGAACACCTAGATCCCGTGCTGCTGTCAAGCCAAGTCCCTCCCATTCTATATCTGTGCCTTTGATTTTTTGTACCTAAGTGTAGGACTTTGCACTTATCTCTATTGAAATTCATTTTATTTGTCTCAGCCCACTGTTCCAGCCTATCTAGATCATTTTGAATCCTGACTCTGTCTTCTTCAGAATTAGCAATCCCATCCAGCTTCGTGTCATCTGCAAATTTGATAAGCATCCCCTCTATGTCTTCCTCCAGGTCATTCATAAAAACCTTAAACAACACCGGGCCCAGGACCGAGCCCTGCGGCACTCCACTCGAGACTCCCCTCCACATAGATGCAGAGCCATTTACAAGCACTCGTTGGGTACGATTTTTCAACCAACCATGAATCCATCCAACTGTTGCACCATCCAGCCCACACTTAACCAGCTTATCCTCAAGGATATCATGAGAAACGTTATCAAATGCTTTACTGAAATCTAGATACCCTATGTCCACAGCATTGGCAGAGTCAACCATTTTCGCAACCCTGTCAAAAAAGGAGGTAAGGTTGGCCTGGCATGACTTATTCAGGGCTATTTTTGGGCAGGAACGCACAGGAACGGAGTTCCGGCTGGCTCCTGCATTGGCCACGCCCAGCAGGAACTCATTAGCATAATAGGCCACACCCAACAGCAGAAACCCATTAGGATTGGCTACGTTAGGGGTGTGTGGCCTAACATGCAAAGGAGTTCCTGCTCCAAAAAAAGCCCTGGGTTTTGACAACAAACAAGGTAAACAGAATAAGAAGCAAAAGGTGGGTGTGGCTGGATGACCACACTTCTGGTAACATGGGGGTGTGGCCTAATGTGCTAATGAGTGGTGCTGTCAGGGGTGTGGCCTAATAGGCTAATGAGTTTCTGCTATTGGGTGTGGCCTATAATGCTAATGAGTTCCGGCTGGGCTTTTTCTACAAAAAAAGCCCTGCTTATCCTT